GGGGGGGGGGGGGATAACACGGAGGTTAATTCCATTGTGGATGAGAGTGTGCTTCACTGAGATCCAATAAGATATTTCTGTGGGTCAAAGGGAAATTCACACACCCAGGACACCTCGGGGACTGTAATGTAAAACTCAAATTCAGAAAATGAGATGTGAAGCTGTGTGCCTGCGTTAGAGCGGCACCTTGCACCTGCCAGCTCTTTGCATGACTTGAGATGATAGTATCCAACGCGCCTTCTCTGAAATGTAGCTCTGCAGGATTATGGAGAGCAAAATGCCGCTATACTTACTTGTCACTAAGGTCAGCATGTGCGACTTTCTCAGTGAGAGTTGGTGTTGGCATGGACATGCTATACGACAGCAGCAGTTAATGAGATAACACCACCTTTTCTGCTGTGGGGTTGCGTGCTGCCAGAGCTTTACAAATGTCCAATATAATCAACAATGGGACCTGATTTGTGCCTTGAGTCTCTTGCTGGCTTGATTAAAGCTCCAATCTAATGACGTTAAACTCTAGGATCTATTGCTGCATCTCGTTACATTAGGGAAGTGCACACTTAAAAATTCAGCTATACAGTAGCTGATGACATGTTTACAGTCTTGACTGCTACACGATATCAGTAAAGTAAACCTTAATGAGAGCAAAGTGTAATGAAAAGCAGCTTTGACCTGGCTGTTCCGGCAGTTCCTACCTTTATGCTTTTTTTTCCTGCCCCGCTGTTACTACTCTTAAGGTATATGAAACTTCAGTTAGTGTCATAACCTTCTCTCCTCCCCCCAGACCCCCCAAAAGTCCAAGCAAACAGACAAACAACATAATAAACTGGCACCTTTCCTTGTGGGCTGAGCTAGCTGTTGACCTTCAGGTGTTGTATTGTTGCATTCATTCAGAACACAGAAATACTAACTGAAATTTGTGCTTGTGTATTTCAGTTTTGATCTCTCTGTCTTCTGGGATGCCTAATCACAGCGCAAGCATCCAGGTACAACACTGGGTTTTGCTGAGGGTTGTTTGTTCTGCTCTACTGTGTAATACCGAGTGCCATGGAGAAATTGGATTGTGTTCCTCTGCCAAAAGTTAAAGCAATAGCTCCCTGAAGCGCTCTCACTCAGGCGGAGTCCTACAGACTGAAGCATTTCCTATATAAATTCCTTTATTTCCTTTGCTCTAAAATGCAGATTCTTCTCATTTAGAGTTTTCCTAACTCTTACTCAGCTGCTACTCTCAATACAATCATACAGAGGTTCCTTTTGTTTTGAAATCTGTTAATGCAACCAGACGCTCTTACTAGAGGTCCCGGGTCTTGGTCAGAATGCTTCCTTATGTGCTGAATAAACTTTATGAAGAGTTATTTTCATTAAGACTTTTAAGGCTTGTAATAAGACTTAAATGCTTGTAATAAGCAGGACATGATCTTTTTTCCAGCTTTGTGTTCAGAAGTTAAGGATATTGATAGAAGATTCTGACCAGAACTGTAAGTATGTTGCTTGTCTTCATGGAAGCATTTAGCAACCAACCACTGGCGAGAAATTGCAGCAGCCTTAGAGTAACAAGCTGTTTCTCCAAACAGCTTGTTTGGTATTGTAGTGCCTGGTATGTTGTAAACAACTGCTGGATTTTTAAATGTGGAGATAATTTTTGATAGTGATCACTTCTTATAATGAGCTTTTTTTAAAACAAATGAGATTAATTATTACTGCTGTTTGTGGTCTTGTAAATCTAAAACACTTCTCTTTCGATGCTCTGGGCTTTCCCTTTTTATAAACTTGCTGCTTGGACAGTAGTGAGGGGTATTCTGTAGTGCAACTTATTTTAGTGACTGCAAAGAACACTGGGAAATCCTTTTTTGTGCAAACCTTTTTCCTGCCTTATGAATTTTTCCCATTGAGAACAAAGCTGCTACTTAATACACCAGTCCTGTTAGTGCTTTTAAAGCTGTGTTCATCCTAGGATGCCTGTTCTCAAAACCCACAGTTTCTGTATAAAGCAATGATAAAACTTGAGGTACAAGAAGACTGAAATGAAGACTATATATGTAGTTACGTGCCTGTATATGAGATTATGAAATTAAAGACCGAAAATCTGTGATACACTGTTTCTCAAAAGTTCTCTTCCTCATCATAGTTTTTTGAGTGTATTAAAGTTGGTTTCAGTAGAAGTACTCAGTATTAAGATTTCATGCTCAACACAAAACAGTGTTTCTATATTTGGAAAGAAGTTTTATTTTGTCTTTCACAGTGAAATACCTGGGACTGTTAGCTATGTCCAAAATCCTGAAAACGCATCCTAAATCAGTTCAATCTCACAAGGATCTCATTCTCCAATGTTTGGATGACAAAGATGAGTCTATCCGACTCAGAGCTTTAGATCTCCTATATGGCATGGTATGTTTCTACACGTATTTCCTTTCCTCTCCAGCCCCCGTTACCCTTTAGGAGGCTGATGTTTAAGAAAAACATGCAACTTTCTCTTCCCCTCTCCCCAGTAGTCTTGTGATAGTAACTCCCATATCTTTTCTGGCACTTATGACAAAGACATGATCTGGCACAGCATGAGAGGGCTTTAAAAACTTCGATTCGGACTGGAAGGAGTTTCTGAGTTCAGGTGTTGTGGAAGTCACCCAGGAGGCTGCTTCTCTAATGCCTAAGCCTAGCTGCTCCTTCTGTCCTTGGTCTAGGTTTAAAGTGGACCACAGGCATATTTGGGCAGGTCTGTGCCGTTCTGTGTTGCAGTCCACGCTGCAGCACACCATAGCTCAGGTTGACGTAAGTTATGCAAAGTCTGGGAAACAGTCTGGAGCACTCTGAAACAACAGGAGAAGGCAGCTTTAAGCTGCTTTATCATCAAATTTGCCCTTCATTGTAAATTTTGTTATGCCTTTTAATGACAGGTACAGAATCTCATTCTGTTTGGTCTCCTGCGTGCCACCAGTTTTGTGCATGCATTCTGCAGCTGTGCAGGGCAGTTTACAAAATGTGCATAGGCTACAGGGACAATCTTGTAGTGACAACGTTTGATCTCTGAAAGGGCTGTGGTCATGATTTATACAGTAAAGTGCCTTTCACTCAAGAGTCTGTGCCCCCACACACACATATGCACAAAGGGGTTGTGATAGATGTGTCTCATACTTCCTATTCTAGAGGAGAAAGTGAAAAATAAGGAGGACACCTTTTGTCTGGTACTCCTCATGAGATAACTTCATTAATGTTTGATTAGGACAGTGGTTTTAATGTTGTTGCAAAGAGAATTGGAGTTCATTCTTAGTTGCTGGAGGTTAAATTCTGCTTGTTACGTCTTTAGTCAAAAGATAACCTAGGAGAAAGAGTCTACCGTTTTGCTCAACCCTGCCTCTGAGGAAGAGTGCTGTGTAATGAATGATTGTAGAAATACTAATACATACGTCTTTTGTTAGTGGTGTCTTTAACATGTACCTATTGAGAGTTCATAGCTGGAAGCAGCAAGTCACAACAACTGGTGATATTTACTGAATGTTTTCGTCACTTTATTGAGACAAATAGGTTTCCAGAACAAGTTAATACAGCTATGTTTTGAAATGCTAGAATTCTGTTGGATGTTAATGACTTAAATTTGTTTTGTTTAGAAGCAAAAATGTTTTAAACTATTAAATTTGCTACTCTGGCAGAAGTAGAAGATTCATTTTCTCCTGGATTTCTGTATTGCTGCTAGTAATTCTGATTCTCAGCTCTCCCGCAGCATGGTCTTGTATACTTGTGCTGATTCTGCTTTAATAACAACATTGAGAAGAACTAAACAGGTTCCTTTTTCAGTTGTGACTGAAGCTGGGGCCTAGAGAGGTGGTTCTGATTTCTTGTTAACACAATACAGGTCCATCAAAGAGCTAGCAGCTGCTTTAATGGAATTAGAAGGACTTGACAGTATGGGAAATGGCTTAGTTTTGGTTCACCTTCAATAACTCTTTAACAGGTATCGAAGAAGAACTTGATGGAGATAGTGAAGAAACTGATGATTCACGTGGATAAAGCAGAAGGGACGACATACCGGGATGAGCTGCTGACCAAAATCATAGATATTTGTAGTCAGTCCAATTATCAATATATCACAAACTTTGAATGGTCAGTGTTTTTATGTGTCAATTTTGAGATCATCAGCAATGGTAATGCATGATTGTCTGCTGATAAAATTGCATCCCTTTCACTTTTTGTAGGTACATAAGCATCTTGGTGGAGCTGACCCGGTTGGAAGGCACACGACATGGGCATCTTATAGCAGCTCAGATGTTAGATGTAGCTATCAGAGTTAAAGCTATTCGTAAATTTGCAGTTTCTCAAATGGCCATGCTTCTGGACAATGCTCATCTCATAGCCAGCAACACCCAGAGAAATGGGATCTGTGAGGTGCTTTATGCTGCTGCTTGGATATGTGGGGAGTTCTCTGAGTAAGTGCAAACAGAAAGCCTGATACGCTTTGAGCAGCTTCTTTCGGGCAAAGATTCAGGTCACTGAAAAGTATTTTTGCGAGAAGGATAGTTCAGAATATATACCCCAAAGCTAACAAAATGATTGCTTCTTTCCCGCTCCCTCATCCCATAAGACTCCTTAGCTGTTTCTAGCCAAGACGGATACTTCATTTTGAATATCTGGTCTTTTTTCTTGTCTCTGTAGTCCTGCCCACTCATGCAGGAAGGCATAGTTGTGGGTGTTAAGTGGTAAGATCTTAAGACATTGAAGGAACTCCTTAACCCTTAAGGCTTAACCCCACTTATATCATAGGGAAAACGTCCAGTCACCATGTTTGACTGAATTAGTTTTTGCTCTCCTCCCTGTTTTGTCCTTGTCGAAAGGTTTTTGCAGAACCTAATCTTTCTGAGGATTAGAAATCATCTTTTTCCTCACAACTTATCTGTACCCACAGTAGCACCATTTTCAATGTTCTTGTGCCAACAGTGTCTTTTAGCTTAAATAGATGTTTTTGTCTCCTGGTTGTGTGTGCATATATGCATGCTTACCTAGCTTTCACTTTGGTAAGTCGGACAGACTGTGATAGTGTAGTCTCCTTTTATCATCTGGTTTGGTGTCTCTTGTAATTGCCACTCTGAACGCTGGTTCCAGTTTAAATTCATATAGTAGGTGTGATTTTTTTTTGGGGAGTGAACACTGATATGACTCAGATCTTCATTTAATTAAAAAAGTTCTGCAAAGAAAACTGTAGATTAAGAAGCAAGAGAACATACTCTCCTTTTTCAGGTTGATCACATTTTTACTTTGAAAGAACTTTAGCTTTCCATTCATAATGGACCAGTAACTTTTTTGTGCATCTTCCATTTAGTCGTGAGCAGATAGTTTTGAATAAGAGCATGAGATTTATTAAAACAAGTGTTATGATCTGCATTCTTTTCTGTGTATTAAGCATTGCCTACTAGATTTTATTTTTGTTCAGTAAATGATTGGAAATACCTCATTGATGTGAGTGATGAAATACAGAATGGCAGGAAGGTAGTTGGGCTGCTAGAGCCAGACTGTCAATGGAGTTGGCACTTTAAAGTGCAATGCTTAGTTAATGGAATTTATAATTATATAATTATATAAAATTATATCATTTCAGTTATACTGAACTTGTAAAGGTGGAAACTGAGGTGTCCCTCCCCTTCTGTAAAAGGATAAAGCTGTAAATTCATCTGTGCCACGTTACTACTGTAATTTGGAAGGGGAAAACACGCAGAGAGCAAATGATTATGTATTTGTAGTCTGTCCTGCCTTTCTGCAGCACTTTGTACTGCAACTGAGGTTTTTGAAAAATTCTTCTCCATGGAGACCAATGAGATGTTGGGATTTCTCAGTTGCTGTCTTTAATCTGTCCACTCTGTCTTTATAGACACCTCGAGGAAGCAAACCAAACTTTAGAAGCGATGTTGAGGCCTAAAGTTACAACTCTACCAGGCCACATCCAGGCAGTTTATGTCCAGAACATGGTGAAGCTCTATGCATCCATCCTACAGCAGAAAGAGCAATCTGGGGAAAAGGAAGCAGCTCAGGAAATTACACAGCTGATGATTGAGCGTTTGCCTCAGTTTGTACAGAGTGCAGATCTAGAAGTTCAAGAGAGGGTAAGAGAACAAAATTACTTTGGAATTTATCAAAGTCTCTCATTCATCTTGGAGCATAAATGTAATTTTCTGTGGACATGCACGTTTTATATAAGCCATTGTTATCAATGGAGTGGCGCGTTTATTCTGTACTTTGTGTAACTCAGTGGAAGAGAAGCTCTAGAACTAGAGGACTGGGAAGAGTGGTGACGTTTCATGTCAGAGCCCAGACCTTATTCCAGTTCAATACCACCTCTGAAGACTGCTTGCAAGGATTTCACTCAAAACAATTTAATTTTAGAATTATGCAAGCACATAAGGACACAGCTAGAAGAGAGGGTTAACATGGATTTTTTTTTTTTACATTTGCTCTAAACCTGCAGTTATGCTGCATCCCTTAACTGTTCTACTCCATTAAGGGAATTATCTTCTGCTGACATTCATTGCAGTTGATTTTTTTGGTTCAGTTTGTTAATATTAATCCTGAAATTACTTCTGCGTTTGTTTTTAGGCTTCTTGCATCTTGCAACTAATAAAATATATTCAGAAGCTACAAATAAAAGAAGTACCTGTAGCTGAGGAAGTAATAGCCCTGTTTGCTGGTGAGCTGAACCCTGTGGCTCCTAAAGCGCAGAAGAAAGTACCGGTTCCAGAGGGGTAAGATTCCTTCTCTCTACCAATGCCTTATTTAAACTTTTAAACTCTTAAATAGTAAAGCTAGGCATATGATGAGAAACACTGAAATATTCAGGGGTACTGAGTCAAGCTATTTGTTTACTGCAATTCTTACCAGCTTGGACCTTGATGCCTGGATCAATGAACCTCCATCAGACAGTGAGTCTGAAGATGAAAAGCCCAAAACAATTTTTCATGATGAGGAACAAAGGCATTCCAGACATAGACAGCCAGAAATAGATGAAGAGGAACTGGCCAGAGTGAGTGAATGTTAAAATGCTTTTCCCTACATAATTCAGTGGTAATATTGTAAGTGCTACTAAAGCGGTTGAAGCTGTCGTGGATTCTCCATGTAGCCAGGGAGCCATTCTGCTCTCTACGGCTCAGGAAATCTGATGATTTGATGTGCACAAAATACATGTATTTGAATACAGGTATTTTTTTAGGCATTGTGAAATACATCCGATAGGCAAGCTAGGCTTCCAAGAGAACTTTCTATCTTGTCCAAATGGAAGCAAGATATTGTAAAAACCGGGCCCTCGTTAGGAGTTTTGCGCTCCTGTAAAAATCTGACCTGTAAACTGTGCTGTCTAGTGCAGTTCACTTGGAAGTACGGGGTCTTGAGGATGGACACTTGTGCTGAGTTCTATTTGGTTTTTTACACACCTCGTCCATTGGTGTACTTCTGTTATTCTGTACGGTCTGTATCAGCAGGAAAAGAAGCAGCATCTTTGCTCATGGACTTTAGCAGCTTCTACGAATTACTGTAATGTGACTGTTCTCGGTAGTGATACCACCTTTCTTGCTTCTGACCTTTTTGTTTTCATAGAGAAAATTTTTTATTGATAAGAATCTTCACTTCCTCTCTTTGCAAAAATGAAAATAGAAACATTTGAATTGCCATCAACATCTGGTCTTCAGAAGTTAGTCTCTCTAGTCTAGAATTAAAAAGCAAATAAAGGATATTCTAAGGAATATCAGTTATAGTACTAACAGTACTTGTAGTTATATTCTAGTATGTCTTGTAACTCAGAACTGGTTTATCATGCTCAATCTACTATGCTGTAGTCTTTTTGCAAGTAGTTATGCATTGTTCCAAAAATTCAGGGAGATTGTATTTTGCACTTGGATGCCTTTTATCTCTCTTTGCTTATAAACAAAAATTCTAACTACAAATACTCTTTTGCTTTCAGCGTCGAGAAGCCCGGAAACAAGAACAGGCAAACAACCCATTTTATATTAAAAGCTCTCCTTCCCCACAGAAGGTGAGTGAGTCTGAATTAAAATCTCTTGCTGGCCTCTCATATAACTGTGTGAAGGCTCGCTGAATGTCAGTGCTGCAGCTTCCCTCTGGGACATTCTGAGTATTTCCACTGCAGTTCTGATCACTTAATAGTGTGCCAATTGGAGTGGCTACCTACAACTATTTTTGTAAGTCTTGTTTGTGTTGAGAAACTCACAAATGACCTAATATCACCAGAGCAGCCAGCTTTCTGTGAATCTCTGGTGGACCTCTGGTTTAGAAACAAGGAAGTGGTAATTGTCACAACCCCCATTACAGAGTAGTTTGGAACAATCTGGATTAACTTTGTCATGGAAAGCGCAGTGTTTCTATTTCAGCAAGGACTCTCTAAAAGCTGTAGAGAAACGCTTCTCTGTGCCTGTGTGTCACAAATTCCTGTGCAGGTAGTTTGTCCCAACTCTGGGTGATGGAAGGGTTCAGATTGCCAGGCGCTTCGTTAAGAGCAATGAAGAGAGAGTGAACTTTGAACATGCTCCTCTTGAACATGCAGCGTGTTTTATGGATCAAAAGGTCGTTGTGGTCTCTTCTTAATACCTTTCTCAGGGAAAGAACCTGCTTTATTCCCTGTATATCCTAAGGACTGCCCCATTTTCCTCAACTCAAATCTCAGAATTTATCTTTTGAAGTGGCAAGTTATTAGCAATAAAACACAAACCAAAATTTCTTCAGAGTTTTGCAACAAGCCTTCTTCAGGGCAGTAGCAGGGTTAAAAAACTGTAGCTAAAAGTAGGGTCTTTTATAATAGTTATCAGCTGGCTTTAAAATACACTCTGCTACCACACAGGATTTAGTACTGAGCTATTCCATTCCTATCCTTTAAAATGTTCACTTAAAGGATTAAACTGCTTCATGTTTTGAAATGTGTCTATTTATATAGGTTTGTATCTGGCAATGCTCAGAATGTAACAAATTCTCATTTTCCCAGCGATACCAAGACACTCCAGGTGTGGAACATATACCTGTGGTCCAGATCGACCTTTCTGTCCCCTTAAAAGTTCCAGGTGAGTGCAGCTAATATTTAAAATTAATTACAGAAATTCAGTTAAGCAAAAGTAATAATTCCTTCTTAGGAATTCCTCCTTAAATTTTTAAGGGCAAGGAGCATACTTTCATTAAGCTCTTAAATATATCTCCTTAACTCACACGTGTTTGAAAATAGTACTTTGCAGTCCAAGTGCAGTTACTCTCAAGACAGTGTTAGAAGTAATTCTGTGATTAAGTATATTGTGCAGCCAAGTCTGTAACACGTAAACTAACCACTGTTCTGTGTAGGTAACAGTCACCTTTGGAATGTCTTAAAGGGCTGATGAAGGTGATCAGGAGACATTAAATGGAGTCTAATGGTAGAGATACTATTTTAATATCTTGTTTCAAAAATCAAAAGGTAGTTGTATATCTAATGAGTGGTTTGATATAGCACTGAAAAGCTGTTGGTAGAGTGCAGCACGTTGCAAGTGATGAGTTCTAAGTGCAAATATTTAAGGCTTACATAACAAAGTTTTTTCCAAAAGTCTGGAAAGTTGTCAGTACAGCAATGGCACCAATTCTACTTAAAATATCGATATTTGGATGCTCTTTGTAATCCAGTTAATGTGGTCAAGAATCAGGGAGCAGGATAGAGCTCTGTCCTATTTCTGTAGAGGTGGAGTGTGATAGTAAAGCTGGTGCTAGAGGGGCTGCATGTGAGATGATATGGAAGCAAAGAGAGGTGTTGATCCTTCTAATTCTGAGAAGCCAGAAGCAAGGTTCACTCCTAACACACTGTTTCAGTGATCAATGTCCATGTGGACTGTAGCCTGAAAGCAGTTTGGCTTCCTCCGCAGGAATGCCTATGTCTGACCAGTATGTGAAACTGGAAGAAGAGCGAAGACATAAACAGAAACTGGAGAAAGACAAGAAAAAGAAAAAACAGAAAAAGGAGAAGAGAGGTAAACATCATCGCCATAACTCTCTGCACACGGAGAGTGAGGAGGATATTGCTCCAGCTCACCATGTCGATATCATAACAGAAGAGATGCCAGAGGTCAGTTGCTTTGGTTGGTGGTCTGAATTGTGGGGTTTATCTGTGTGCTGCTCTTGAGAGATTTTTTCCCCAAGAATTGCCAGCCAGTCTGTATTGTTGCAGTTCAAGAGCTCTGATTTCCTGCAAAGTTGTTTAAGAAATGACTGATTGAGAATGGTCCTAGGCTGTTCTTTGCAGGGGGAGAAATGATTTTCTTTTTGTGCACAAAAAGACAAAAATTGCCACTTGAAGCTATTAAAAAAAAAAAAAGAAAAACAAAAAACCAACTAGCAAAAAACCCAATATGCATCTCTGCTATAAAAGTAACGCTGTCCAAATAGTCACTTCATTTATTATGCTCTGCTGCTTCACTTTGACATTAACTTGCTGTCTAGTCAGCAGGTTTGCAGCTGATTATAATTAATTGCGCATGCTAATGATGTAATCTCTATTTGTTCCTAAAATTTCCTTTAATCAAAACCGAACAGCGGCAATTCAAATCCTGCAGTTTTATGAAGAATGGTTTTGTTCTAAATTAATCTTGTAACTAGATGCTGCATTAAAGTGCCTTGTTCCTGTAACTTACTGTGTCTGACTGCAAGCTGGCCTGTTCCAGGGTTAACAACCTTAAAAAAACTGGTTTGGGTGATGTAAAGCTTTAGCTTCAAAATTGCTTGTGGTTTGCTTCTTCAGTGGACGGTCTCTTTGTCTCTCCTGCAGAATGCTTTGCCCAGTGATGAAGATGACAAAGATCCCAATGATCCATATAAGGCACTTGATATAGATCTGGATAAGTAAGTGGCAGTTTTGTATGTGGATTTACTTAATTGCTAATCAGAATGCATGACGGCAGGTCTGGGGCTAAACACGCAAAGGCACTATCTACAGTCCACCAGGTGAAAAAACTAAGTCTCTCGCCTTATCTTGGATGTAACCTTAGATGGTCATCCAGGCTTGGGTTCCCACTGCAGTGTAGATGATAAAAGCGAAGCTGCTGAAGTAGGGGGGGTTTGGGGAGGGGCAGGGGAATCATTTTGTGTGACTGAAAGGAGTCTGAAAGCACAGGCAGTGTAGCTGGGATCAGATGTGAGAGAGTTAGTCTGAGCTTTTGGGTGTACCGGTATCTCTCTGATCTAACCTGCATTGGCACCGAGTGTGACCTGCATTCACCTGCGTTCATCTCAGAAACACTGTACGCATGGCAAGCCCGTATGCTCTGCATTGCGATCATTTGACCAGTAACAGCCAGTTCGTAGCATCCCCGTTGCCCTGTGGACATTCAGTGTGGTTCCACTGTTGAAAAATGTCATTCTAATATGATTGAGTGAACTGCGTGTCATAACTTTGACCAGAGTCTGGTCCCCATTCAGCTACTGGAGTTGTTTACAGTACTAGCACCCCAGGCTGCAGCGCAGCAGACTCTGAATCCCTGCATGCCATGTGATAATTAGCAGTGGGCTGTTAAGTATTGCATGTGGAGATTGTTTTTTAGTTGCTGTTTTACAAAATTGCCATGCTAAAAATAGTTGCTGATTTATGGTCCATGGATGCCTTCTGTAAAGTTTTGAAGACTGTGCAGGCACATGTGTGCATGTAGTATCTCTCTCCCTCCCTCCCTCTCTCTCTCTCTGACACTTAACTTTAAAGACTGTGCTGTTCTCTGCAATTGTCAAATCTTGTAGGGGTTTGGCCTCTCGGTACCTTTGCAAAAAAAGTGATGTAGCATTTTTAAAAAGCAAAAGAACAGTTTCTGAAAAACTTCCTTTTTTCACGAGCTGGTCACATTGCTCTGAGTCTGCAGGGGGCAAATGTATAAAAGGAAATGAATTTCTGACTATAGACCTCGTATTTGCATGACAAGCCTCAACAGCGTAGAAAACACTGAGCAGAGCAGTTTCTGAATGCTGTGCTCCAGGAGGCGTCTTTGGACTTTTGTATTGTTTCCATCCATTCTCTTTCCATTTCATATGAGTCAGCGTGCTCTCCTGTCATGTTTTCTCATGTCTCTGTCCTCTCTCTTTCTTTCTGTGCTTGCACTGCTATGTCTGTGTCACGCTCACATGCAGTCTGGTTTCAGGGAAGCCTTCCAGGTAAGAATATACTGCTCAGTGGTTGACCTTCTTTGTCAGGTTGGTTGATTTCAGTGGACAGTGTAAATACTTGAAGGGAGGTGAAACTATTGAAATCACTGACCCTCAAATTTGTGTGAGTCTATTTCATCATTGACTTTCAGCACCAATCCCTGTTCCTGTACAGGTATATGTGAAACAGCTTAAAGATGCGATGTGTTTACTGTTCAAACAGATGGGGTCCACCTTGCCCTTACAGCATCTGTTTCAAAGTGAAAAATTAATTGGGTCTGGTTCTTCATGCAATATAAGGAAAAAAATTAAGGCAGATGTGACCGTTAGAAATCTTCCTGAACTGGTGTTTGCTGCTCGAACATGAAAATTAATGTTAAGTAAAAGCTGTAGAAATAGAAAAAGAGGCAATCGGTGAACTTCTCACTGATCTCTGGACAGTGTTTGACAAGAATGGAGAAATTTCTGTGGTGTTTTTTTACCAAGTAATGGATTTGGGATACAGTGTAAATCTGAACTACTACTCATGCTTTTTGGAAACAGGTATCTGAAATTAAACACAACTTTCAAAATGTAATGGTAGAGTACAGATTCATAGCATAAACTTCCAAAATGCAACAATTTATTGCTTAAAAGAGTTTCCAATTGGAGTGATCTATTAACAACAAAAAACACGCCCTTCGAGGGCTGTTTGAGCCATGCTATCACTCCACTGCTTGAATTTCTGCACTGTTGCAAATGCTTCCTACTGCTTCACATCTTTGCTCTTCCTTTGGGAGTGGTTCCACAGAAAGGCAGCGTAACGCTATGTGTATGTATTCTCTGTAGGTCTTACTCAGCCTGTAAGTCTGTAGTTATCACTTGTAAGAGTGATCACATGTCAGCAAGAGCTTGGCTCTCAGTCACCTTCAAGTTGTTTCTATTAACTTCTAATCCATAAGGGCAGTGTCTGCAGTTACATAAATAAACTTCAGGTACAGAAGTATGTGCCGATTTAAGATTTTTGGGGCCCAATTCTTTAAAAACAAAGTATACCTTGTCTTGGGCGTCCAGCAGATAATCTGAGCTAAGGGAGACTGTTTGCGGAAGGGTGATGGTCTCTTTGTTTTTAAGACCTTTAGCAGACAGTGAGAAGCTGCCAGTGCAGAGACACAGAAATGTTGAGACCCTGAAGTCACCAGACTCGGAAGCTCCCCTAGTAGAGAAGAAGAGCAAGAAACCCAAAAAGAAGGAAAAGAAACACAAAGAAAAAGAGAGAGACAAAGGAAAGAAGAAAGAGAAAGAGAAAAAGGTAGTAGAGGAGGAAGAAGGAAAAAAGGTAATTCTCCAAGACTTGCATTATTTTAGAATTTGCTGTTATGGGCCATATTTATTGCTGTGTTTTGTTGCTTAGGAACAGTCACATTTGACAATTCAAACAGCTGAATGTTTTCAACCTTTATTTCCTTAAATTTTTACAACCATAAAAGCAGGCATTTAAAGATTTTTGTTAATAAAAATAACATTTACTTAGCCTCGTAAGTTAGCAGAATTCAGCTTACTGCAGCCTACGCAGCAGATCTTCCAGGTCTAATTTGGAAGCTTGAGTTTACTGATATTTTGTCTGTTCTTAAAATGGGGAACTCTTTAGCAAAATATCTGGAACTCACTTTTGTTCTACATCCTGTCCCCCGTATACTTCAGAATCTTTCAGCTATAAAACCTGACATTAGTTGTCAGTTACTCTGAAGACTTGAAGTATCCTTTTTGTTAACCTCTCTGCAGAGACGCAGGTTTCATCTAAGACGCAGCCGATGTGCTTTGAATGCCTGTAGATGTTGTGATATGTAGGGTAATTTGCAGTTACTGTCGGCTATGTTGAGGTTTGGAAGTGTGCCCAAAGGCTGAAGTTAAGCTTCTTGAACTATTTGCTCCTAAATGTATTGCAGCATCTGTGTATGAGCATTCTGGAGCAATGCATTTCCATGAAAATGGGAGGGTTTAATTTAATTGATGATTGGGTTTTTTGGGGGTGTTCTTGGTGTCTTTTTTTTTTTTTTTTTTTTAAAGAATGGTATCAAAACAACCACGATGGCTTTGTTTTCTCTTGAAATTCAGGGGGAAGACTTGGATTTCTGGCTCTCCACTGCTCCACTGCCTGCTTCCACTACCCAGCCACAGGTAGACATCTTGCCACACCACAGGAAACTTTTTCTTATGATTGCATTTTAGCTGTGATACGAGTGCCTTTGTCATGCTGCAGGAGAGAAGGGAAAGATAGGCTTCATCTCCTCAACTTATTGCTGTGAAGCTATGACTTTATATCTCCCCGGTTTACATTTACAGACACGGTAATGGGAGGTTTCAAGCTCATTCTGCTGTGCAGATCAATGGACAGAAGTACAGATACAGCTACAGGCTTGGTGGATTTTAATATTATTGGTGATTTTTAATATTACATTATTAGTGTATGGTTTTATTTCCTAGTATGAGCTAGACACTAGCAATATTAATAGACATGGGAGAGAGTCTGAAAGAAAAGTCTCGTCAATGTTGATAGGAGATTTTAGAGGAAGAGACAGGGAATATAAGGGGATTGGAGGAAATCTTTTGTCTCTTGTGCTCAGGTGATCATATTTGCTGGGTTTCAGAGGCATAAAATGAAAGGCTTGATACCATGTTAGTCTAATGTAATTCTTGAAGTAACAGTTGATGTGGGGGGCAGTGTCACTGTTAAGGTTTCTTCTGGTGTGGGATTCAGTTGTTTCAACTGCGTTCTGTTAGTGTCATAACCCTTCTGCTAATCTACTCAGAGTGAGCCTGAAGTGGGTGCTGCTGTTGTGGCTGAACCTCAAGAGGTAAAAAAGGAAGAAAGGGAAGAGCGAGAGGAGGAGGAGGAGGAGGATGAAGAAAATGTAAGTGGTTTAAGTTCCTGACCCCCTTAGCCATATTATCCTAGTGTGTCATATTCCTTAAAAAGAAGCACACAGGAATTACCAACAGCATCCTATTCAGTGTAGTGACCACCTGCAAATAGGCAGCAGAGCGAGAGGGGAGGAGGAGGAGGATGAAGGAAAGGTAAGTGGTTTAAGTTGCTGACACCCTTAGCCATATTATCCTAGTGTGTCATATTCCTTAAAAAGAAGCACACAGGAATTACCAACATCATCCTATTCAGTGTAGTGACCACCTGCAAATAGGCAGCAGTGGGATGTTACGCCCTTGAGGAGCTCTAAACACTTCATAGTAAGAGGTTTGGTCGTTCCTTGAGCCAAGGGTCAGGTAGCAGTTTTAAAGCTGAGCTTCCAAACAGTTGAAGAGATTTGGCCTTCTGCTGATCCCAGGCTGCTTTGGGTTAAGGCATTGTCATCTAAGTGGGGAGCAAGGGTTTGCTGGGACTCAACACAGAATGGCAATTGGGGTTTAAGGAATGGGAGCTCTGCTTTGGGTTTCTGCAGTAGTAGGAAACTGCGTTCAGTCATCCAGAAGGCTGCGCAGAGCGAGTCTAGAGTTGAAAGATTGGTAAGAGGGGTCATGATGTAATGGCTGGAAATACAGGGTGTCCTTAAGGGTTTGTTGTAGTTTCTTGTTCTTCTTGGTAGAAATCGTCCAAGCATAAGAAGAAAAAGCACAAGAAAGAGAAAGAAGAGAAATCAAAGGATAAAAAGAAGTCCAAAAAGAAGAGTCATCGCAGTGAGGAAGAGACAACAGAGTCGGTACAGAATGGAACACTAGATGATGAACCACTACCAGTGAGTAGCTGTGCGCTGGCAGTGCTTGCCGTGGGGAAAAGGCAGGAGCTAAACTGTTTTGGGAGGAAGGAGAATGACAGCTCTTTTAAGAGAAATTAGTTATATTGCGACTGTGATTTCTTTCTTGTTTTTCAGCCTATGTCCAGTTACTGCCTTCTCGCTGAAAATCCATACATTAAAATGGTGAGTTTTTTGGCGTTCAAATGCAGATGTTTTCTCTTTTTGTGTTCTCTAAGAAAAGAGGGGATACCCTGGGGATAGTATAGCGACTTTATGTGGACAACATTTAACTGAGGAACTGTTTAAATCCCAGGAGGTAGAAACAAAACCAAGCTCCATTTCCATTCCTTTGGATGTCCTACTTAACAAGTTTTAAAGTTGGTATTTTCCCACTACTTAGCAGTACTGTGGAGCTGATCACCAGTGTGCTTTTCGTTATCCTATAGCTGTACCAAATTACCTTCTTTTTGAAGCTTGCTTTATTCTGATGCTGTGTTCTGTTCTGGTGCTCTGCTGTTTGAAGTTTCTGAATCTTTCCTGTGATTTTTTTTTTCCCTTCATTTGCAGACCTATGATATTCAAGGAAACCTCCAGAATGATAGTCAAGTTACTGTCTCTGTTATCTTTGAAAACAAAAGCACTAGCTTCCTTAAGAGCATGGAACTAAATGTCCTGGACTCTCTCAACACTAAAATGCTCCGACCAGAAGGATCATCAGTACATGATGGGATACCTGTGCCCTTCCAGCTACCCCCTGGTATGCGCAGCTTTGCACAGGGTTCTTGGAGTATGTCTAGTCCTACACTGCCCTCCTGTGGAAAGAATTGTTTGAACTTCTTGCTACTTGCTGTTTTCCAGAAGGACATGTCCCTCTGCCTGGGTGTTCACTGGGCTTTCACACAATTCACTGGAGAGGATAAGCCTTCTTACAGTATGGCTATAAATGCAGGGAGTCCTGTACAGCGAGAGCAAAGCCTATAATGTAGGACTGGGAGTCCGAATGTCTGAGTTCCTTTTTCAGGTGACTGCAGGCTGGCACACCTTTGAACGTGCCAGCATCACCAACTACAGGAATCCCAAATTCATGAGGAGTTTGCTGTGAGATTTAAAATGGAACAAAGCTATAGGTTCTTGAACCGTTATAATCCGCTCTGGATTTATTCTCGAGCTATTGTCCCACTGTTTTAGTGGCAGAGGCCATATGGAGTGGAAGTTTGCGATAAGTATGTGCGTATTTGGATGGGGAGCTGAGCCCTTAAGAAATATGAGACATGGAGATGAAGGATAATGGCTTCATACATAGTACAATAGTACAGTTGAATCACTGAACTTCTTTGAATTTCACTTCCTTCACCAAAGAGTTAATCTGAATACTGAAACAGCTCACAGAAGTCATCTGGGATTTAGTGGCTTCAGGATGGATTTTGGTCCCCCATGGAAAACAGTGGGTTGTTTGGGCTTTTTTATTCTATGTAAGGCAGTTCTTGACACAGACTTGTGTATTAAAAGAAAAACAGAGAAACATTAGAATTCAAATTAGTTCTGAAAACTACTTGGAAAGCCGTATATTTTCCAGTTATGCAAACAGTTTAAATATATTGCCACTGTGACATCTTTGCCCAGGCTCGCTCTCAATAACCTCTGCCAAATGCCAGCTCTCGCTGCTGCTTTTCAGAGCCCCAAGAGCTATGTGCTGTAACACTGTTAATTCACCACAGGAACTGTGCATATAACTCTCTTCCAACTACATGGAAAACTTCAAACTTGGTTCAAAAATAGTCAGTACATAAAGCTTAGCTGCTACTGATCAGTTTATTCTAACCATTACTTAGATATGGAAACCATTTTCTGACCTGACTTCTCCCTCTCCTCTCTTCATGCTAGGAATCTCTAATGAAGCCCAGTTTGTGTTTACACTTCAGAGTATTGTTATGGCTCAGAAGTTAAAAGGAACATTGTCCTTTATAGTCAAAGTAAGTGCAGCTTTAAACTCCGTGCTTCTGCTTCCTTTGGAACTGCATAAGGGAGCTTGACTTGGGTGGAAAGCACTGCTTTAGAGCTTTTCTTAGGCATCATTTCATCTCTGCTGCACCAACCCATTCTGTGATGTGAGAAGTATTTTTACATGACATCTTGTGCAAAGAGTGTCCCGAATACTGCGTAAGCATGTCCTAAATTGTCATTCCTGGCAGTGTGTGAGCAATGCAGCCTGAAACATATGCCACATTGTCAGCTAGAAGATCGCTGCAGTGGTGCATCTGCTGGGGAGAGGAGGTCAACCAACTAGCGAGAGATGCAACCCAGAGTCTGTCTCTTCTGATCTCAGTTACCCAAAGATTGGTTGGACACTGCTACCTGGTACAAGGCTGGAAAAATAGTAGTAAGAATTAGATGCAGTTAATAAGGTTGGAAACCCTGAACAAGAGTGAAGTTAACTGAAGGCATTGTTTAATAAGTATTGACCTGTATAAGACTATGGGGTTTCTAATCTTATTTCAGTAAAACTATTAATGAAGGAGCTGTGTGAATAGCTCGAAGGAAGTGAATGGAGACAGCTGTGGCTACTTCTGAGTCAGCCATTATCTCTATTTTAAGGGTTTCTTAAAAATAGTATACTAGTCCTATTTTCAGTACCTAAGAATCTGGGAGATATTAATTTATTATTTTGCTTGGGAAATAGTGAACTGTAAAATCACATCTCCAAGTGTTAGCTTAAATTCAGTCTGCTCGATATATTTCAGCAAGGTCCAATTGAAAATGCAGCCAGATCCCTCCAGTTGTGTCCCTTACCTGCTCTAGGCGTATGTATCGACCTAGCTGCCCAAATCTTTTCTCTGAGTGGCCTGATGTTGTAGTGTGATGGTCGTTCTCAGACTGATCCTTCAGGCCCAGCCAGGGTATATCAAAGGGAATTGAGCCCTAAAGTCTTCATCGGTGCCTGTTTGGTAGGTGGGGGTGGTGCCTCCTCTTGCTGCCTCGGGGCTCCCATTCATCTCCTTTCCTTTGACCTGTTGCAGAATGATGAAGGTTCAACCCATGAAAAACTAGATTTCAAATTGCACTTCAGTTGCGCTTCATACTTGATCACGACGCCTTGCTATAGGTAAGTGTCATTTAGGGAGCACAACATTGGTGCTTTTGCCGCCCATGTGAAGCTGAGCTTTGGCTGCAGGCCATCTCTGCAAGATACGCAGCATGCTTTTGACTTTGGCTGCTTGTGATTGCTTTGGTTACAGTTCAGTTATCTTGTGTAATGTTTGACTGTTAAAATATGTCCAGCAACTTATTTCAAGTGATTCTGAAGAAGGAGTTATATGGCCTGTAGGCTGACAGAGGTCGTGTGGAAGTAGCTCTGGTTGAGGTCATCGGGTGCTCCAGTGGAGTCTGGAGTATGGTTCCCATATTTGCTGTAAACCCATTTTCCTAGAGCTTGGTAGTACTTAGACTTCTGCATCCTGAGATGTCTCAAGGTCTGCATGGGGCTAATGTGGCAGATTCCACTTGAATTTCTAGTACAAGTGTTTACTTTCCTTCCTGTTTTGCAGTGATGCTTTTGCCAAGCTCCTAGAGTCTGGAGATCTGCACATGAGTTCTATTAAAGTAGATGGAATTAGCATTTCTTTCCAACATCTACTGGCAAAGATCTGTTTTCATCATCATTTTTCAGGTGAGTCTTCCTCGATGCAGAACCTTCTGCAAAATCCCGTATTCTAAAATTTCTGCTGTGCTTGGCGAGTGCAACGCTCCGTGGCCTCGACAATGACAGGAGCAGGTGATGTCCAGATTAAATAAATTTGGGAGAGGTGTGTTTTCCAGTTTTATCCAGTTTTCAGGATACATTGGTATCCTGAAAGCATGCAGCGTTCTTCAAAATGAACTCTCCTTCTGTCCCTGTGGCTTTCCTCCAGTCCAGCGAGGCACGTGGCAGGTATCACGGGAGCAGCTTGCTTATAGTTAGGGCTGTAACTGTTCTCTGGAGGGTGTATTTGATCTGCAGTGCTTCAGCCTACCTCTTTCCCCAACGTTTCGTTTCAGTAAGGGAGAGCGCGAGCTAGTCAAGTTTGGACTTACTAATTAAAACACAAGTACTGGATGAAGCAAAACAAATGGCTGTTTCATCATGCTCTGGTATATGCATTAGACATTGCCTCACTGAAAGTGTTTCTGGGGAAGAGATCTCCATTCTAATCAGCATTTTTGCCACAAAACATTTGCAGCTTACTTAAAAGACAAATGACTAACCTCATTATTGTGAAATATCCCAGATAGGAGCCAGGAGGAGCCAGGCACGTACATCGTCTTAACCCTGACTTCCTCCTCCCCTCACTCAGTAGAAGCTTCTGTTCCTTGAGGCCAGGCAAAGCAGTAGTTCCTCTTCACGGGAAGTAAACCTTGTATTAAAAGTTGTCCCACTAAATGAAAACTCCTGCTTTCTTTATAGTTGTGGAACGCGTTGATTCGTGTGCATCAATGTACAGTCGTTCTATCCAAGGCCATCACGTCTGCCTACTGGTAAAAAAGGTGAGAGCATTGTACCACCCTGAAACAAGACCTGAGAGAAGCTAAATCTGCAGCCTTTCCTATCTTAACAGAAAGAGGGAAATATTCCTGTCTAAATCATCCAGGGACACCATGGGCAATGTAATTCATCTGGCCCATCTAGCAGTTCTCGCTGCGCTACTACCAAGCTTGTACCTCCCCGTGGGCTTTCTGTCGCCCAGCGCATACCTGGTGGGTAGCAGCAGCACTGATGGCTGATGAACTGACCTCTCGGCTAAGCCTGCTTCGTTCCTGTGCAGGCTGTTTCCAGTCCCTGAGCTTGGCTGGGAATAAAATTGTCCTCGCTTAGAAGGGGAGCTAATGGATTTCTTTTTTTCTTTTTCTTTCCAAGGGAGAGAACTCTGTATCCATAGATGGGAAATGTAATGATTCCACCCTGCTTAGCAACTTGTTGGATGAGATGAAAGAGACATTGTCCAAGTGCTGAATATTCCTTATAAAATATTCCAACTACAAGAAACACACCTAATGCGTAAAGATGAGCAGACCCAAGTGTTAAGTTTCTCCCTCGTACGCATGTACTATCCTGGGGCACGTGCTTTTCAGTTAACTCCACCATTGTTTGCAGTTTAGACATTTTAAGGCTGTATGTTACCTTTTTATTTCAAAACTTTTTACAAACTGTGGTGTTAACCCTTTCTAGCCCAAAGAGATCCTGGTGACATGACTGGAGGAGGGAGGGAGGGAGGGGCGCTATTTATTCAGCAGCTCGTGATGATCCCATAAACCTTGCCATCTGCGTGGGATGGTGGACTAAGCAGGATTTTATCAACAGTAGCACAGAGTCTGTTGCTTGTGCTTATTGCCAGGGAAGGTTGACTTGGTCCTTAACCATGGAATGTGTCTTCAGGGCTGCTGTAGTTGATGTATATTTCTAGCAGAGGCTGGTGCTGGACCTGAAGGCCTCTTCTTTTTTTTTATATATGATTTATTACTATTATTATTATTGTTGTTGTTATCTCAAGATCTATTGTGATCAGCATATAAACATCCTCCATCTCCTTGAGCTAATCCAAATGTGCCCTGTGAGAACTGGGATGTCTGAGTTTCTGTTTATAGTAGTTGCCTTGAGCCTTAACCTTCTTTTAGTGACAGCTGAAAGAGAGTGAATGCATGAAACGGGCTGGAAGTGTTACTGTTTGGTTCTCTGCTCCTGTTGACCACCCGCGCAAATGGAGTCTATCATGCCTCTCCCCTTTGAGCAGTCTCTGCTGATGTGTTTTATGAGTCCACTTCAATTTCACATTCCTGAAAAGTTAGGGTGTAGCAAGAAACTGGAAATCCAAAGGGGTCTGTTCCTGCTTTTTTATCATTTTGCTCACCAGCTGAGGTTGACCACTACCAGGTTAGAGAAACGCCCACATGTGTAATCCCTCCTGCTCTGAACAGGTTGCAGATAGAGCCCTGTTCCCTCCCTCTGTGCTGTGAAATCAGAGATGTCGTGCTGTCTCAGTTGTCCCCGTAGTGTCCCACGGCCCTGCCCTCGCAGCACTGGATGCAGATTTAGCAGCGCAAGTGTAACTGGGTCCCTGCAGCAGAACTCTCCCTGCCCGGGTGGCAGGAGGGAGGGGTTGGTGAGGAGCTGCAGACTTGTCCCTGTAGCAGGTGACTTTAGAGGGAAGAAAGGGAGGGTCTACAAAGTGAAGCCCATTCTGCACTATTGAAATCTTTTGGAATCACTGACTGGAAGGGGATGTCACTGTGTCCTTTACAGAGATGCTTAATTGATGTCCTTCTCCAAAATATCTTGCTTTTGTGTATTTTGGGTTCCCCCCCGCCCAGTTCTTGCTGTTCCATCCCCAGCAAACTGAGAACACTCTAGAACGGTTTTTCTTTGAGGCACGGGTCAAGAATGGTTGGTTGCTGTTACCGAAAGGGTCCCCAGGGAGGAGCTGGGTTGGTCTGCGCTTCTCCAGCACCGCCACCGCTCCGACGGGCGTCAGCAATGCCCGGGTGAACTACAGCCCTACGCAGGGAACAGGATAAAGTGTTGATCTTATCCTTTGGGTGAATGTCCTGTACTTTAAGCGTGTCTTGTGCTCTTCACACCCTTCCCATATTAGGGTATTGTTGCAAAGGCTCTGCTGTGGTTTTATTGCTAGGACTGGCTTCGTATTCTGACCGCACTTGTGCGCTGCAGGAATTCGTTTGCGGCAGGCTTCACTGCTGGTGAAGTGGTAGGTTTTGGTATTGGTCAACCTCCCTTGGTTAGCCAGTTTGTGTATTAGAAACTGAACATATTAAAATTGTCTTAAAGGATAATGTTCCTCAATTAGTGTTTTTTTTAATTCATGGATGAAAACTGTCACTCTAGCATGTAGAGTCTTCTCTTATGGAATCCTGTGCAGTGATTCTAGAATTTTGAAACTGTATGATGTGTTACATTCACAAATTTATTTGCTATCAACATTCCCTTAAAAAAAAAAAAAAGAAAAAACAACATACCACAAGCTGCTGTAATGATTTTGTGTCAAGATGATCCAATAAACTTTCAAAACAAAGTTAAATTTTTGGCTCTGTAAATAGTCCTTTTATAAGACCCTTCCAGTTTGTTTGGACCCAAAGACATGACATGGATGTACCCCAGCTCTGAATGCTTGTCTTTGGGGGGGAGGCAAGAGGGATCTCACTCCAAAAGCTCTGGGGGAGGTAAGGAGTCATTTCTAACACCGCTGTGTGGGGTGGTGGGTTTTTATCGGCTGGGGACTGGTGTGCATCAGCGAGGGGAGTCCTGCCAGTCCTGTATCCCTAAGGTGCGTGTCATGGACCCGCTCTGTCAGCGGCAGCAGCTCGAAGGCGTGAAGTGCGTGAGCAGAAAAGGAGTCTGTAGCGAGGGAGACTGGAATGGTGCTGTTCTTCATCTCTTGTATTTTAAACTGACCTGATTTTCACGGGCACCAAAGCTTTGATTCCTACACGCCTGGAATAACTAACTGGTCAGGCTGTCAGGCTTTAACACTCCGTTGGAAGGCAGCATTGCAAGCAACGGTTGTCACTAACACAAAAACTACAGGAGGGGGAAAAAAAAAGTAATTCAGACAACCTCAGTTAAAGCTGCATTAGGTTTTGGGGGGGGGATCGCAATTGCAGCTGAAGTCTAAGCACTTGTGAACACTCGGAGCTCTGGTCTTGATGAGATGTCTAGAAACTGAAGGACAGAAATCAGCCCCTTCCGCCTCTTCCTCTCGGCCTGGCATCCAGTAAAGTTTGTGACGGAAACACGGTAGCATTAATGTGAAGATTAAGGTCCAGTACTGTCGCACCAGGAACTGAGGCGTTGGTTTTGCTGATGCTCCCAGTGGTTGCTAGTAAGACCAGAACCTGTGAAAATCATCTCTTACAATAGAAAATATCTGGGGCCGTGCAGCCAGGAGCTACCAGCTCTGCACTGAGAAAAAACCCCCGGCTTGCACTAACTTGTCGGCCCCGTTCCTGGTAGATAAGCTCCTGCTGCGAAGGAAGGGCCAGGTGATTTGTTTTCTGCATGTGCGAGTCCGATACTGCAATCCCGTACTGGCCTGCAGGGAGGCTGCCTGCTCGCTCTGCCGTGTTGTGGGACTGCACGGATCTGATTAAACGGGGCAAAACCAGCAACGAACACCCATCTCTCTGCAAATGCGTGGGGGAAAAAAAAAACCAAACCCAGGAAGCACTTAGAATCACAGAATCATTGAGGTTGGAAAAGACCTCTAAGATCATCGAGTCCAACCATCGACCCAACAATGCGATGTCTAGAAACTGAAGGACAGAAATCAGCCCCTTCCGCCTCTTCCTCTCGGCCTGGCATCCAGTAAAGTTTGTGACGGAAACACGGTAGCATTAATGTGAAGATTAAGGTCCAGTACTGTCGCACCAGGAACTGAGGCATTGGTTTTGCTGATGCTCCCAGTGGTTGCTAGTAAGACCAGAACCTGTGAAAATCATCTCTTACAATAGAAAATATCTGGGGCCGTGCAGCCAGGAGCTACCAGCTCTGCACTGAGAAAAAACCCCCGGCTTGCACTAACTTGTCGGCCCCGTTCCTGGTAGATAAGCTCCTGCTGCGAAGGAAGGGCCAGGTGATTTGTTTTCTGCATGTGCGAGTCCGATACTGCAATCCCGTACTGGCCTGCAGGGAGGCTGCCTGCTCGCTCTGCCGTGTTGTGGGACTGCACGGATCTGATTAAACGGGGCAAAACCAGCAACGAACACCCATCTCTCTGCAAATGCGTGGGGGAAAAAAAAAACCAAACCCAGGAAGCACTTAGAATCACAGAATCATTGAGGTTGGAAAAGACCTCTAAGATCATCGAGTCCAACCGTCGACCCAACACCACCATGCCCACTAAACCATGTCCCTAAGCGCCTCATCTACACGTCTTTTAAATACCTCCAGGGATGGGGACTCAACCCCTTCCCTGGGCAGCCTGGTCCAATGTTTAACCACTCTTGGAGCAAACATCGAGTATTTAATGAGCTGCGGGACCTTCACTGGACAATGCAGGAGTTCACAGCGAGCCTGGCACCGTCCGCTTCTGGCTTCGAACAGTAAGACAGGCTCTCGCCCTGCTCCCTGCGTTTACGTCATGTCAAAATTCACTGAGCAACTGGGCAAAGAAAATCAGTCCTTATCGAAGTGTATTTTTGCACCCAGTATGTTACCAACAAGTGCGTGAAAGAAACGCTGCTCTGCACCATCCTTGCAGGGAAAGGGGGGTGCCACCCCAGAGGTTTGTGGTTGCAACCGTTTCATGCCACGGCTCGGGCAGAGCAGCATCTATCCCTTGGAGGTACCCAACCGCTGGCAACCGCGCTCTCTGGAGAGGCACTAATGCTGCTGCAGCCGCTGCCCCAGCTCCTCCCTTGGGCAACAGCCCTCCCCTGCACCAGGGCCGCGGCCGCAGGCCGCTGCTGGGAGCGGAGAGTGGGATCAGCTGCTCTGCGGGAACATCGGGAAGAGGCCGCGCTGCCCCGGGCCAGCGGGGAGCAGGGGGAGGCCCGGATCAAGGGAGCCGAAGCCTTCGCCCCCGGGTGTTGCCGCACGCTCCCCGGGCTGGGGCTGGGCTGCGAGCACCACGGGTGGAGACGAGCCGGGGGTCTGGGACCGCCAATTTGGGGAATCGAGAGCAGCGAGCTCCCCCGTGGTGCGAGCAAAGGGGCAGGAGCGTAGGAAAAACACTCGGGAGTGCAGGACCCGAGGCAGACGGGAAGGAGCTCTGTGGGGTGCGGGGAACGGCCGTGCTTTCGGCAGGGTTTGTTTTTTGGGCTTCCCAGGGACTTGCCACCCGCGTTTGACTTCCCTGGTTCTGATGTTTGTGAAAATTTCCCTCTGAACCAGCAGCTGCGTTTCCTGCTACTTCTCCTTTTTATGACTTTAAACTTCAAGTACGTGCAGGTTCCTTCAGCCGCTCCTGTGCGACCAACCGCCCCGCGGTCAAACCAAGCCAGCTCAAACCACCCTTAACCCCCGGCCAGCGTCGGAGCTGGATCCGGCCCCGAGTCTTGGCCTGACTCTGCCCGGCTTCCCCCTCTCCCGGGGCAGGACGGCGGCTGCATCTGGCTCCTGATGGTGCCACAAACCACCCTCCGGCTCCTCAAATCGAGCGCTGCTGGGCTGGAAATGGGAAAAATAAGAAAGCTCGTGGAGGGCGGGAGGTGCTGGCAGGGAGCTGGGCTTCTCGCAGGATGGTCTGAAGGCAGCTGGGGGTGGAAGGACGCTCGCAGGACTGAGGAGGTCCCTCACCCGCTTGTCATCGGCCGGGGGAGGAAAGAGACGCGTTTTGGTGACGGCGCCGCTGGGGACGGGTTCCTCAAAACGCTTCTCCGGGGACTGACGGGGGTTCCGGAGCGGGCCCTTCCCCTGCCCTTACGCCGGAGCCGTTGCTCCATGAAACCTGGCCGGAGCCGGGGGCTTCCCGACCTTAATTTAATTTTTGCTTCTGGTTTCTGAGCGTTTCTGCCCCTTTCCAGGGCACCTCGTCCCGCTCTTCTGTCCCCCCGTGTGAAAAATTCGGGCAAACCTTCCCCTGAGTCTGTCGTTTCTGCCGCGGCGTGCCGGGCTCCTCCGGTTTTAGTGGATAACGTAATTCCACCCAGGTGCAGAGCAGGATGGCCGGGGGGGGGGCGGCCCCTCGGGGCCCCGGAGCACCCCTGGGCTGGGGTACGGCCACGGTGCC